TTGGTTTCCTTTTTTATGGCTTGACTTCCTTCAATTTAGCATCATCAATTCTGGACTTCCTTTGTTTTAGCACCATCAAATCTTCGATCTTATTTCCTATTTGTTGACGCCCTTGATGGTGCCTTGATTCCTGCAATCAACGTAGATAGGATTTAGCTTTGCACAATTATCATCATTGAAATTTAGATGTAACAATCTCTCCCTTTTTTGATGATAACAATAAAGAGAGAGTAAGCAGGAATACTTCCCTTTCATATAACTTGAGATGCCTGCTCCCCCTGAGTTGATTTTCCCTCTGAGTTGTTTGATTTACTCTCCATAATGTTCTCCCCCTTTAACATCAATCAAAAAGGAAAGAAAGATGCAAACCAAGGATATAACATAGAGATGATAATATACATATAATATGTAAACTAGCTAAGGCAGCAGAAGTTATGCCTTCAACAGAGGCATAGAGTAATGGTTCATACAGACCAATGCACAAATAAGTCACAGAGGAAAAACAAGCACACACACAAAAAAACAAAAATTGTCTTTAACACACAGAACACGCCTTAATTTCTCCCTAGGAAGTATATGAGGGTGTTGATCACTTTGGTGCAGAAAGAGTCATATGAGGTTTCAACATCATTAACGAGCTTGTCCATCTTTGCAGTCATGCAGTTGAATGCTCTGGTTCCTTGCCTCTGTGTGGCTCCTATATCCATCCTAAGCTTGGCCGCATCTATACTTGTTTCCTTGGTGACTTCCCTGATCTTGTCCACCTGTTCTTTCATCTCAGTGAGTAGGAGTTTTACCTCATCTAGATATACCTGAATCTGCTGAAGATTTTAAGAGGTAGTCGACTGAGGCTCTGATGGTTCAGTGGGAGCTTCAACTTGAACTGGAACACTTTCAACTTTAGCGCGCCTGACCCATCCATCATCACTTAAAGTATACCCCATCATAGAAAAAGATGTCCTATCATAGGTACTAGTAATATGCTTACATGAGAAATGTGCACAAATCAACCTTCATAACTTCAAGAATATGTGAGATTTGTAGACCATAGGGTAGACAAGTAGCAGAAGAGGATATATCCCTAATACTCTCAAGCATATACTGACGAACCCATACAAACCAGTCAAGTCTTTTATTGTTCACAAGACAGTAAAGAACAAAGATATCCCTGGTAGACAGGGTGCTGAGGGACCCAGTTCTGGGAAGTAAAGTGGTGACTATCATGTGGGCCAAAACACGGTGTTCAAACTTAAGATTCTTGGGACCAATGTCGGGAGGGTTATCAAACAAGTAGGCTTTTGTCTCTTCTAAGGAAACTACAAAATCTTTTGGCCAGGAATTTTGCTCAAAACATCATACCCATTAAACTTAGCAGAAAAGATCTTCTCAAATTGATAAGAATCAAGGACAATTCAAGTGCCTAAAACCATGGACTCCAAATCATCTTTATCATTCACAAAAAAATAGCATAGAACATTCTCACGGGTTCTTCATATACAGAGTTCCCAATAGTATTGAACAGAGAGGAAAGTCGTTGAAAATCAAAGATAGCAATTACATCACAGTGCAGATTTTTCATAAGAGAGAGACTTACACAGCATCCATAAGCCATAAATTTTGACTTATAGGACTCAAACCTTGATTTCTCACTTGGTCCATAGAAGATTAATTTGTCCTCTGGCCCAAATTCCATACTTTTCACTTTTCCTTTCTTACATACAAGCCTTTTGGGGGTTTGCTCGATGGGCCTCTTTCCTGCCTTTTTCTGGCTGATGGGAAGGTCTTCCGACGATTCACTACTTTCATTGTCGGTTTTGAGAAAATCTGAGTCGATGGATGATTCCAAGTCTATGATTTCTTCAGGGTTGTGGCTTTTCTAAAAATGTCTGCTTCGTCTGGTGGCAGTGGAGGAAGAGAGGTTTCTTTTCGCCATTGTGAGGAAATTTGTGTTAAGAGAACGATGAATGAAGAGAAGAGAAAGGGGTTCTTATCTAGGCGTTTGGAAGGTTGAAGGGTTGCATTGGTTAAAGGAAAGGGTGGATTCAGAAGGAAGTGACTCGTCTGAGGAGATGTTTCGGCGGTTCTGATGGAGATGTTATAATCACATTTACACAAAGTAAATATACTATACATTTAAACACACATAAGAAAGGAAATAAAATATTTTAAACACATGCAAAAGATTTATTTCATAAAATAGACATAATGCCAATCTTTTTTCGCAGTAAACAAAATCTCTCTTCTAAAAGAGGTTTTGTAAAAGTATCAGCAAGTTGAGATTCAGTACTAATGAATTCTAATACAATATCACCTTTAGCAACATGATCATGGATAAAATGATGCTTGATCTCTATATGCTTTGCTCTAGAGTGATGCATAGAATTTTTTGACAAACATATAGCACTAGTATTATCACAATATATTGGAGTGGAAGTAACAGATAAGTCATAGTCGAGAAGTTGATGCTTAATCCAAAGAACTTGTGTACAACAGCTTCCAACAGCTAAATATTCTGCTTCAGTCAGTGACAGGGCAACACAATTTTTTTTCTTGCTATTCAAGGAAACTAGTGCATTTCCCTAGTTGACATGTGCCACAAGTACTTTCCCTGTCAATTTCATCACATGCAAAATCTGCATCTGAAAAACCTTTTAAAACGAAATTGTTAGAGTGAGCATACCATAATCCCAATAAGGTATCTAATAATACGTTTGACAGCAGTAAGATGGGATACCTTAGGAGCCGACTGAAATCTTGCACATTTACACACACTGACATTATATCTGGTCGACTAGTAGTGAGATATAATAACGACCCAATCATTCCTCTATACATTGTTTCATCAACACTTTTTTCATTGTTTTCTTCATCAAGCGTAATTGTTGGACTCATTGGAGTCCCAATGGACTTAGCATTCTCCATGCCAAATTTCTTTATAAGTTCCTTGATGTACTTGGTTTGGCTGATAAAGATCCCTTTGGGAGACTGTTTGATTTGTAATCCAAGAAAAAAAGTTAGCTCTCCCATCATGCTCATTTCGAACTCTCCTTTCAAAGTATGGGCGAATTCTTCACATAGAACAAAGTTAGGACTTCCAAAAATAATATCTTCAACATAAATTTGAGTGATAAGATTACCTGAATTTGAGTGCTTAATAAACAGAGTTGTATTGATATTACCTCGCTTGAAACCTTGATTTATAAGAAGGAGCTTAATCTTTCATACCAGGCTCGGGGGCTTGCTTGAGTCCATATAGAGCTTTAGTCAACTTGAATACATGATCTGAGAAAGTATCATTTACAAATCCTAGAGGTTGCTTCACATAGACTTCTTCAGAGATGTAGCCATTTAGAAAAGCACTTTTTACATCCATTTGAAATAGTTTGAATCCTTTATGAGCAGCAAAAACAAGTAATATTTGAATAGATTCTAATCTTGCTACAGGTGCAAATGTTTCATCGTAGTCGATTCCTTCTTGTTGAGAGTAACCTTGAGCAACCAGTCGTGCTTTATTTCGTACCACTTGTCCGGATTCATTCAACTTATTTCTGAAAACCCATTTAGTTCCTACAGTGGAGGCATTAGATGGTTTTGAAACCAGTTTCCACACTTTATTTCTTTCAAATTGATCAAGTTCATCTTTCATTGCTTTGATCCAGTAGTCATCTTTTAGTGCTTCATCCACTTTCTTTGGCTCAAGTTGAGAGATTAGAGCCATGTGAGGGTTGAGCTTTTGAGATCTCCTGGTAGTGATTCCTTCATGTGAATTTTCGATACTGAATTCGTGAGGATATATAGGTTCACTTTTCCACTCATTTGGAATGTTCGTGGTTAGTTCCTTTTCCTCAGTAGTCGGCTATTCTGTTGAAGAAGATTCCTGGATGTGCTCCTCGTTTGACTGATTCTGCTGAGTAGTTGACTCATTTTGGCATCCATTCCCTACAACAACAGACTTGGGGGCAATAGAAATTTCCTCATCTTGAGGAAGTTTTTCATTCCTTGAGCGAGAGTTAGTATCAACAAAAATAACATGAATTGATTCTTCAATGCATAAAGTTCTTTTATTATAAACACTATATGCTCTACTTGAGGGAGAATATCCAAGAAATATACCTTCGCTTTTTGGATCAAACTTACCCAAATTATCCTTTTCATTATTGTGAATGAAGCATTTGCATCCAAATGGGTGAAAGTAACTGATGTTGAGTTTCTTACCATTCCATAGCTCATGTGGAGTCTTTTTAAGAATGTGTTGAATTTGACACATGTTGTTAATATGATATGCGGTGCTCACATCTTCAGCCCAGAAGTGGTGCGGTAAAGGGTTTTCCACAATCATGGTTCTTGCCATGTCCTGTAAGGTTCTATTTTTACATTCTACCACTCCATTCTGTTGAGGCGACCTTGGTGAAGAGAAACTGTGAGAGATTACTTGGTCATTGCAAAAGTTTTCAAAAACTATGCTTTCAAATTCTCCTCCGTGATCACTTCTGATAGTGGAAATGTAGTATCCTTTTTCGCGTTGAACCTTCTTACAGAAAACATCAAAATTCCTTAAAGCTTCATCTTTATGACACAAAAAAATAACCCATGTAAATCGAGAAAAGTCATCCACAATAACAAAAGTATATTTTCTACCACCGATACTAGCAGTTCTAGTTGGACCAAACAAATCCATATGCAATAGTTGAAGAGGTTTAGTAGTAGAAATAATGTTTTTGATTTAAAAAGATGAACGAGTTTGTTTTCCTAACTGACATTCATCACAAATATGATCTTTTGAAAAATCTAGTTTTGGAAGACCAATAACAAGTTCGTGTTTAGAAAGTTTTTGAATGGTATGCATGCTAGCATGTCAGACTTTTCTATGCCAAACCCAAGGATCATCAATCATAGAAGCAAGACATATTTGATCATCAAGGCTATACATTACGGATAGTATAGACATTTCTTTCTCTATTTCCTGAAAGAATAACTTTACCTGATTTATCTTCTATAAACTAGCCATGTTTCTTAAAATGAACCTCATAGTCATTGTCACATAGTTCACTGATATTAGGAAGATTGTAACCGAGTTCATCGACCAGGTAAACTTCGTCCACATCACATGTTGAGCTTAGGGGAACTTTTTCAACTCCAATTACGTTTCCTTTTGATTTATCTCCAAAGATAATTGTTCCTCCATCTAGTTCGGTGACTGTTTTGAATAATTGTTTGTCACCAGTCATATGTCTGGAACATGCGCTGTCAAGATACCATTTTCCTTTTCGATTCATCTTGCGGTGTTCCAGTAAAATAAAGTTACTTGTTTTTAGGTACCCAAGCCTTGCTTAGGTCCTGAATGGTTAGATTTCTGAGTGTTAGCTTGACTAGAGGATTTAGGTCGCCAGACCCATCTCCTGTTGTCCTTGAACCTGCAACGGTTAGAGGTGTGACCATGTGTCCCATAATAAAAGCACGATGGATTTTTGGGATTTTCAGAGCCTTTTTTTGCTCTGATTATGTTCCTGCATTGGTTAGTCTTGTGACCATTTTACCATAATAAGAGCATGCATGAGAGTTTCTAGTTCTAATCAAGGAATTATGATAAGCAGTTTTATTTGATTTTACATAACTATGACTTGTGGATTTTTATAATCAATTCAGTTGAAGTTGAAGTTCATTAACTTCTTCTTGAAGCATGTCACGCTCAATTTCACAAACTTCCAGCTTCAAGGCCCAATCTTTCTTTTCTCTTTGGATCTTTCTGAGTTTATTTAGAACTCTTTCAATATCTGCAAGAGAAATATCAACAAATTCTTGAAGTTCATAACAGTTGGGACAAGTAGGAAGACGTACCTTACTGGTTCCCTCGTGTGCCATAAGGCCAAGTTCACCTGAGTCTTCTCCCTCATCTGCTCCTTCATTTGCCATGAGTCCAAGCTCTCCTGAGTCCTCATTGCTATCATCTTTTTAGGCCATGAAACACATGCTTGCAATTTCTTTATGGTCAGATTCTTCTTCATCACTCCAGGCTTCATAGGACTTCTTCTTTTGAAGGTTCCTGTTGAGCTTTCTTCTTCAGTTCGGGACAACCAGCTTGAATGTGTCCATGTTTTCAACATTCATAGCATCTTCCATCATTTTCATTATTTGTCCTTCCCTTTCTGAATTTTGATTTACCTCTTCTGCTATTTCTGTTCTTCCTCATCATGCTTGTTACAACTTGGGACAGCATGGTTATGTTTTCATCTTGTTCTCCTCCTTCCTCTTCTTCATCATCTTCTGGTTCAGCATAGTTGCTTTGAAATCGACTGTTTTTTTCTTTTCTTGTTGAATTTTCCTGTCCAAGTGAGTTTTCTCAAAGGCTATTAGATCAACTCGAAGTTCATCATAGGACATTTTGTCAAGATCCTGACACTCTAGAGCAATGACCTTGGGCTGCCAAATTGTGGATAGACTTGTGAGAATTTTTCTGACCTGTTCCCCGCTCTTTATTGTTCTACCAAAGGATTTTAGATCTCCAAGAATTTTGTTGAACCTGGAGAACATTTCCTCTGTTGATTCTCCATCCTTCATTTGAAATAGCTCATACTCACGAACCAACAGATTTATCCTTGTTTCTTTTACCTTGTTAGTTCCTTCATATGTGACCTCCAATTTATCCCATATTTCCTTAGCAGTTTCACAGCTTGAGATCTTTTCATACTCTTCACGACTGATAGCATTGTACAGTAGATTTTTTGCTTTAGCATTCACAGTTATGACAACAACTTGCTCATCCGTGTAATCAGCCAAATACAGTGGATCAGTTGATACTATAACTTGACCATTCTCACCTTTCTTTGCTAGAATTGTAAGATTTCGCTTTTTGATCACCCGCCAGACTTTGATGTCATATGAAGGGGTGTATGTTTCCATACGCACTTTCCAATGAGAAAAGTGTTCTTCGTTGAAATATGGCGGTCGTACTTGAGGGGTTCCTTCTTGAAACAATGCACCAACGACTGTGTTTGATCCCATGATCTTTTCCCAACTAGGTGTTAAGTAAAGTTCGTGAGCCTTGCTCTGATACCAATTGAAAATAGAAGGGGGGGGGGGGAGGGGTGAATTGTGGTCTATAAAAAATTGGTTGACTAATTGTAAGTTTAGTCGACTAGATTTCACGCAGTAAATAGGTAAAGCAGAGATAAACCAAACGAATTGAAAGCTAAACTAGACACAGTAGTTTTTATACTGGTTCGGTACCGGTGTGGTACTTACGTCCAGTTCCCTTGGGTCACAAGGGTTCTCTTAGATCGTGATAAGGAATTACAACAGTGATAGTATTAGTTCATTCACCACCAACGACAATTAACAGTAATTTCTGGATGTCGACACAACTATCTTTTGTATTCTAACTCTTCCTATGTCACACTTGTAAACTGAGGAATACAGTGTTTGTGCTAAGAACTAGAGAGGCTTAGAAGACAATGTTTGTAGTTGCGTAAAACTTCTTCTTGAGATTGGCAGTCTTCTTAAAGGAGAGTTTGAGAGCTATTGCAGATTGATCTTGATTGAGGAATTGAATCGTTTTGCAGATTGATCTTGATTGCGGCACTGAATTTTCTAAGAGATTTGACCCAAGGGGTGTAACGACCCGGCCGGTCGTTTTCAGAATTTACGCCCCGATCCCCTACTAACCGCTTCCCCCAAGTTTATTTCTGCTATTTTGATTTGCCTGGATGTTCAATTTTGAGTATCAGAGAGTTTTGGGACACTTAGTCCCTAAATGAGAGTTTAAGTGTTGGGAAGTTGACCGTAGTCGGAACAGTATGAAGACAGCCTCGAAATGCAAATCCGATGGTTCTGTTAGCTCTGTTAGGTGATTTCGAGGTTAGGAGAGTGGCCGGATTGTGTTTTAGAGGTCCGTAGCAAATTTAGGCTAGAAATGCCGAAAGGTCGAATTTTGAAGTTTCCGGTTCGATAGTGAGATTTTGATCCGAGGGTCGGAATGGAAATCCGAGAGTTGCAGTAGTTTTGTTATGTCATTTGGGACGTGTGTGCAAAATTTCAGGTCATTCAGAGGTGGTTTGGTTGGGTTTTTGATCAAAAGCGGGATTCGGAATATTTTTAGAAACTTAGGCTTGAATCCGATGAGTTTTGAGGAATTTGATGTTGTTTGAAGTGTTTTGAATATTGGTACAGGCTTGAATGATGTTTTTGGATTGGTTGGCATGTTTGGTTGAGGTCCCGAGGGCCTCGGGTGTGTTTCGGATGCTCAACGGGTCATTTTTGGAACTTAGGAAATTGCAGAAAAAGTTGCAGCAGTGAGTTCTGGTTTCCTTCTTCGCGTCCGCGAGTGGGTCCTCGTGTTCGCAAAGAGGAGCTGGGGCTGGGGGAGAGTTTGGCCTTTGCATTCGCAAGAGGGCCTCCACGTTCGCGAAGAGGCTGGGTGGTTGTGCTACGCGTTCGCGTAAGAGGAATCAGCCCAACGGAGTTTTGTGCATCGCGTTCGCGTGGTGCACGTCGCGTTCTCGAAGAAGGAAAAATGGTCAAAGTTATTTTGTGCTTCGCGAACGCGAGGCTTTGACCGCGTTCGCGAAGAAGGAATTTAACATCTGGGCCAAAATTTTTAAAAGGCTTATTTCGCGAATTTTAGCCTAGCTTCCTCCGTTGTTAGGCGATTTTGAAACTTTTTGAAGAGGGTTGAAGAGGGATTCAAGGGGAATCACTTTGAGGTAACATTTTTGACTTCATAACTCGTTTTTATGTGATTAAAGACCTAATTAGTGATGAGAAATTTGGGGAAAAATGGGTAAATAGGGCTTGAGTTTAAGAGACTTTGAAATGAGAATTTGAGGGGCCATTTGGGCTCCGATTTCAGTGTTCTTGGTATGTATGAACTCGTGAGAGTATGAGGATTCCGAAAAGGTAAATTTTACTTGATTCCGAGACGCGGGTCTGAGGGGCGTGTTGGTCATTTTACCTAATTTTGCGTATTAGCTTAGAATTTAATTATACAATCAGTTATTTGAAGTGCTATTTACATTATAAAACTTAATTGAATAGATTTGGCCATCTGGAGTCGGATACTCGTGGCAAAGGCGTGGTTTCGGGTTGATTTGCACTTGTTCGAGGTAAGTGGCTTGTCTAATCTTGTGTGGGGGACCTTTTTTCCTTAGGATTTATATTGTGGTAATTAAAATGCCTCGTACGTGAGGTGACGAGCGCGTACTTGTGCTAATTGTTGGAAATCCGGTTTTTCATTAAAAATAGCCTTGAATTGTGTTCTTCCTTTTCTTGCTTACACTGTTTGGACATTAATCCTGTTGTAGCTTACAGAAACATGTCTACTTGACTAAATTGCTCTATTTGCCTTAACTGCCTTAATTGTATTAAGTGAACCATGCTAGGTTAGGAATACCTGCTTCACTTTGATATGAAATTGATTGGATTGAATTCTTGTTGTTGCTGCGTATTTACTTTGGGACTACGGGATGGTATCCCAGGAGCTCCTCTGCACTTTTACTTTAGGACTACGGGACGGTATCCCGGGAGCTCCCCTGTATGTTTACTTTGGGACTACGGAATTTCATTCTGGGAGATCCCCCTGCACATTTATGAGTTGGACTACGGGACTGCACCCGGGAGATCCACTGTAGATGATATTTATATTTGGGGACTACACGGCGATATCCTGGGAGATCCCCGGTTGTTATCTTGGAGCTGAGTTGTGTTCTCTTACTGTGTTTCACTTGCCTTTGTAATAGTTGTTGCTGTCCTTCATATCTTGTGCTACTTATTTACACTGTTTATCTCACACTGTCAAACCTTATATCTTATTTAACCTCAGTAGGGCCCTGACCTTCCTCGTCACTACCTAACCGAGTTAGGCTTGGCACTTACTGAGTACCATTGTGGTGTACTCATGCACTTCCTCTGCATGTTTTTCATGTGTAGATCCAGGTACCTCTACTCAGGCTTACCATTCTTGAGGGGAGGCAATTCTACGAAACTTCGAGGTATATCTGCCCTGTCCGCAGACCGAGCAGTCTCTTTCTATTCCTGCATTTAGTGTTTAGACCTTCCGTACTTTATGTTCTTGTTAGACATTCTGGAGATTAGAGCTATGTAGTGTTTTCTCAGCTTGTGGATCCGTGAGTTTTCGGGTTTTGGGATAGTATATCAGATTTCGGAAAGTTGTGTGTATATGCCAGGCAGCATTCAAATACTATTCTTTCAGTTAGTCGGTTTTTGATTATTTATTCCGCAAGATTAGTTGTTTTCTGCATTTGTTAGGCTTACCTAGTCGTAGAGACTAGGTGCCATCACGATAGTTCACGGAGGGCGAACTGGGGTCGTGACAAGTTGGTATCAGAGCTCTAGGTTCATAAGAGTCATGGATCACAAGCCGGTTTATTAGAGTCTCGCTGATCGGTACGGAGACGTCTGTACTTATCTACGAGAGGCTATGTAACTGTTAGGAAAAGAGTTCACTTCAATTGAGTTCCTTGTCGTGCGAGATTTTTGATATCCAAATTCTAAACTTCTGTCTTTCTATTCTCTCAAAGATGGTGAGGACACGTGCTACTCGAGATGACCAGGCACCTGTGCCCCCTATTGGAGTCATCAGAGGCCGGGGCCGGGGTAGAGGCCGAGGACGCGCTCGTGGTGCAGCCAGAGCACCCGCACGAGCTGCCGCCGAGGCACCGCCAGCAGTACCAACTGGAGTCCAGATACCTGATACGTCTGCCACTACTACTCCAGCACCCCAGGAGACTTTGGAATAGTTTATGAGCATGTACACCACTTTGGCTTAGGCAGGGTTGCTTCCCCGTGCTGCAGCCACATCCCAGGCCGGGGGAGGAGCACAGACTCCCGCCGCCTGAGCAGTTGATCAGGTCCCAGAGGTTATTCCTGCGCCCCTTGCAGTGCAATTTCAGCAACAGGAAAGGGCAGCGGCTTCAGAGGATGAGCAGCGGAGGCTTGAGAGGTTCAAGAAATATGATCCTCCTGTATTCAGTGGGTTAGCATCGGAGGATACCTTGGGATTTCTGGAGGAGTGCTACCGTATTCTCCGTACTATGGGCATATCAGGATCGAGCAGGGTTTCTTTCACTACTTTCCAACTTCGAGGAGTCGCCTATCTGTGGTGGCGTGCTTATGAGTTAGACAGTCCGGATGAGGTAGCTTCCCTTACTTGGGCTCAGTTTTCAGATATGTTCACGAGGGAGTATGTCCCCCAGAGTCTTAGGGACGCCTGGCGCATGGAGTTTGAGCATTTGCGCCAGGGTACTATGACTGTCTCGGAGTATGCTATCCGTTACATCGACTTGGCTAGACATGCACCGGCTTTGGTTTCTGCGGTTCACGAGAAGGTTCGCCGGTTCATTGAGGGGCTTATTCCCAGCATCAGATCTAGTATGGCTCGTGAGTTAGAGATGGATATATCTTACCAGCAGGTGGTGAACATTGCTAGGAGGATTGAGGGTATGCATGCTAGGGACAGAGAGGAGAGGGAGGCCAAGATGTCTCGAGAGTCAGGCCATTATTCTGGTGCCCGTGCCCCAGCTGCAGGTCGTCATGGTAGGGGTTATATGGGCTGCCCCATTCATTCAGCTCTTCCAGCAGCCAGTGGTATTCCAGCTCCACCTAGGCCTCAGGAGCCTTATTATGCACCTCCAGTCTCTAGTGCGCCTCCTGCACGGGGTGCTTCCAGTGGTCAGTCCAGCAGACCTGGCCCGAGCCAGTCACAGCCGCCACGTCCTCCCAAAGCTTGTTTTGAGTGTGGTGACACACGCCATATGGTGAGGGATTGCCCCAGACTCAGGAGGGGTGCACCTCCGCAGACTCCTCAGCCACAGCAAGCCCCGCAGAGCTCTCAGGCTATGGTCCCAGCACCAGTTGCTACTCCACCGGCCCAGCCAGCCAGAGGTGGAGGTCGCCTTCGAGGGGGAGGCCAGGACAGATATTATGCTCTTCCAGCCCGTACTGAGGCTGTCGCCTCCGATTCTGTCATTACAGGTACTATCTTGGTCTGT